CAATAAAATTGAGGCAATTCAAAAGTGGCCTCAACCTGTAAATAAAAAACAAGTCCGGGCATTTCTTGGAATCTCGGGTACTACAGGCGGTTTATCCCAAATTTTGCCACCATTGCAGCCCCACTGACAGATCGACAAAAGGTAGGGGGTCAGTCATGATTAAGTGGAATCCTGAGGCGGAGACCGCATTTCAAAGGCTGAAACAAGCTCTCTGTGCTCAACCTGTGCTTGTGACCCCAGAGTTCACAACAGAGTTTGTGGTACAGACTGATGCCTCTGATGTGGGACTAGGTGCTGTCCTGTCCCAGATCAGAGATGGGGAGGAGCACCCTGTGGTCTTCCTAAGTAGAAAGCTCAACAAACATGAGAGAAACTATGCCATTGTGGAGAAGGAATGTTTGGCCATCAAATGGGCCTTGGAGGCCCTGAAATATTACCTGTTAGGAAGACCGTTCAAGTTGGTTACTGATCATGCCCCGCTCAAATGGATGTGTGATAATAAGGAGAAAAACAGTCGAGTGACAAGGTGGTTTCTCGCGCTACAAGTGTTCAAATTCACAGTGGAACACAGAGCGGGGAAACTGCAAAATAATGTAGATGCCCTCTTCCCGGGTCCATTGCCTGGTTGGGACAGTTGCTCAGCCGCAGGGGCTTGAGCAGAGGGGGGGGATATGTGATAGGATGAACGGCGAGGTGATAGAGGGACGCTATGTGTCACCTCGCATATGCTCATACCTGACTGTTTAGGTGGAGTCCACTCCGGGTTTTCGGGGCCACAGTTGGGCAGGTGGTTCCGGACCAGAGTTTGGACTCCACTGATCTCCACCAACAGGTGATATAAAAAGGGCAGGGCTGGAGCAAGGAGTTGCTCGTGGCCTGGGACTCAGAGAGGTATTCTGAGAGAGCTGTGTGTATGGACTATACCTGCAAGAAAAGGTTTGCTGTTATTTTGTTTTGGTGACAGGGAGAAGCCCTTCACCTCTGAGAGAGGAATCATCTGCTGTTTAGTTAGTGCCTGGATGGCAAGGGTTTATTTTGATGTTTTGTTTATTTTGATATTTTCTTGCAAACCTTTTTAATAAAAACTGAGATCCAGTCAGATTTTGACGAAAGCCTGCTGTGCGGTCTACCTTTGTCCCAGGGAAGGAGATCCCCCCACCTGAGCTAACCCCACAATATATATACAGTCAGGTCCATAAATATTGGGACATCGACACAATTCTAACATTTTTGGCTCTATACACCACCACAATGGCTTTGAAATGAAACGAACAAGATGTGCTTCAACTGCAGACTGTCAGATTTAATTTGAGGGCATTTACATCCAAATCAGGTGAACGGTGTAGGAATTACAACAGTTTGCATATGTGCCTCCCACTTGTTAAGGGGCCAAAAGTAATGGGACAATTGGCTTCTCAGCTGTTCCATGGCCAAATGTGTGTGTTATTCCCTCATTATCCCAATTACAATGAGCAGATAAAAGGTCCAGAGTTCATTTCAAGTGTGCTATTTGCATTTGGAATCTGTTGCTGTCAGCTCTCAAGATGAGATCCAAAGAGCTGTCACTATCAGTGAAGCCATCATTAGGCTGAAAAAAGAAAACAAACCCATCAAAGAAATAGCAAAAACATTAGGCGTGGCCAAAACAACTGTTTGGAACATTTTTAAAAAGAAGGAACGCACCGTTCTCAGCAACACCAAAAGACCCGGAAGACCACGGAAAACAAACTGTGGTGGATGACCAAAGAATTCTTTCCCTGGTGAAGAAAACACCCTTCACAACAGTTGGCCAGATCAAGAACACTCTCCAGGAGGTAGGTGTATGTGTGTCAAAGTCACCAATCAAGAGAAGACTTCACCAGAGTGAATACAGAGGGTTCACCACAAGATGTAAACCATTGGTGAGCCTCAAAAACAGGAAGGCCAGATTAGAGTTTGCCAAACGACATCTAAAAAAGCCTTCACAGTTCTGGAACAACATCCTATGGACAGATGAGACCAACATCAACTTGTACCAGAGTGATGGGAAGAGAAGAGTATGGAGAAGGAAAGGAACTGCTCATGATCCTAAGCATACCATCTCATCAGTGAAGCATGGTGGTGGTAGTGTCATGGCGTGGGCATGTATGGCTGCCAATGGAACTGCTTCTCTTGTATTTATTGATGATGTGACTGCTGACAAAAGCAGCCGGATGAATTCTGAAGTGTTTCGGGAATATTATCTGCTCATATTCAGCCAAATGCTTCACAACTCATTGGACGTCGCTTCACAGTGCAGATGGACAATGACCCAAAGCAAGTTTTTTGCAAGAGTTTTTTAAGGGAAAGAAGTGGAATGTTATGCAATGGCCAAGTCAATCATCTGACCTGAATCCGATTGAGCATGCATTTCACTTGCTGAAGACAAAACTGAAGGGAAAATGCCCCAAGAACAAGCAGGAACTGAAGACAGTTGCAGTAGAGGCCTGGCAGAGCATCACCAGGGATGAAACCCAGTGTCTGGTGATGTCTATGCGTTCCAGACTTCAGGCTGTAATTGACTGCAAAGGATTTGCAACTAAGTATTAAAAAGTGAAAGTTTGATTTATGATTATTATTTTGTCCCATTACTTTTGGTCCCTTAACAAGTGGGAGGCACATATGCAAACTAATTCCTACAACGTTCACCTGATTTGGATGTAAATACCTTCAAATTAAAGCTGACAGTCTGCAGTTAAAGCACATCTTGTTTGTTTCATTTCAAATCCATTGTGGTGGTGTATAGAGCCAAAAATGTTAGAATTGTGTCCATGTCCCAATATTTATGGACCTGACTGTATATATATATATATATATATATATATATATATACAGTATCTCCCAGAAGTGAGTATACCCCTCACATTTGTGTAAACATTTGATTCTATCTTTTCATGTGACAACACTGAAGAAATTACACATTGCTACAATGTGACGTAGTGAGTGTACAGCTTGTATAACATGTAACTTTGCTGTCCCCTCAAAATAACTCAACACACCGCCATTAATGTCTAAACCGCTGGCAACAAAAGTGAGTCCACCCCTAAGTGACAAGGTCCAAATTGGGCCCAAAGTGTCAATATTTTGTGTGGCCGCCATTATTTTCCAGCACTGCCTTAACCCTCTTGGGCATGGAGTTCACCAGAGCTTCACAGGTTACCACTGGAGTCCTTTTCCACTCGATATCACAGAGCTGGTGGATGTCAGAGACCTTGCATTCCACTACCTTCCGTTTGAGGATGCCCCACAGATGCTCAATAGGGTTTAGGCCTTGAGACATGCTTGGCCAGTCCATCACCTTTACCCTCAGCTTCTTTAACAAGGCAGTGGTGGTCTCGGAGGTGTGTTTGGGGTCGTTATCATGTTGGAATACTGCCCTGTGGCCCAGTCTCCGAAGGGAGGGGATCATGCTCTGCTTCAGTAGGTCACAGTACATGTTGGCATTCATGGTTCCCTCAATGAACTGTAGCTCTCCAGTGCCGGCAGCACCGCGGTCACTTTTGCAGCAGTTGTTTTCTTATTCCGGGTCACAATCCTGTGCAATGTCCTTTTGTCTCTTTCGGTCAGTTGACCATGTCCACCACGCTTATGCTCATCAGACGACATTTTCCCGGAAACTGTATATGGCGTCATAACCTTTGATACTGCACCTTACGACACGGCAAATAAATTGATGACTTCAGTCACAGAGACACAAGCTTAGCGGCACCAACCATTTTCCCTCTTTGAGGCTCAGAAATCTCTGACATGACTCCGTATTACAATCAGCGCACGCAGTGAATGAGGAAAGTGAGGCTTCACACAGAAGCAGGGGCGGACTGACCATTTGGAAACTCGGGCACTGCCCGAGGGCCTAGGGTCAGTAGGGGGCCCCATGAGATGCCCCTGGTACCTTTTTCATAGGCTTTTTTGAGTTTGGGCAAGGACACAGGGGCCCCATGATCCCCTATTGCCTGTGGGCCCCATGAGTTGTCAGTCCGCCCCTGCACAGAAGGTGTCTCATCACACAGCTATATGTCTCATCACAGAGAGGAAGCAAAAGAATGTTACATCACTTTTGCTTTCAACGTGAAACATGACGTTACTCTCACACCTGCAAATCATGTAGTGTTTCTATATTTTTGTCCAACCCCTGTCTATCTATCTATCTGCTTTTACATCTGTTGTGTAAAAATAGAACTCAATGCATAATCATGGTTAATGTTCATATTAATGTGAATTGAGAACTTATATAGTTAATTTCCTTAGGCCATTTTTTATTAGCCTCAGCATAACTAGTTAATATACTGGTATCTTGTGGATATTTTGGTTATTGCACCATCCTTTTCTGTCTTCCATTCTGTGTTCCTCCCACTTGTGATATATTTCCTTTTTCTTTTGCACTCTATCTTTATTGGGATGAAAATGGCTGCTTTTCTCAAGGCCACATGTAATCTGCTCACATCCGGGAACACATTACCATGCTTTTGACCCACAAATACAGTCTGTTCAATCATCTGCTACATCTTGTTGTCTGCTGTACATTCTGCATTGCAATAAAAGATCCGTGGATGAGAAAGAGGTGTCTGGTGAGTTCAGCTATCTGATAAAGACCGTCCGCAGTGATTGTTTCTGCTTATACAGGCCAGGCATAGAAGTCTCAGCAAGGGGTAAGCCACTAATACAACAGTTGGAGTCAGAATATTCTTTATACATAGCAAATACATATATAGAATATTAGAATACATTAAAAGGGGGATTTACTCAGGAGATAAAACTATAATTCTACCACTACACAAAACTCTGGTCCGGCTACATCTGGAGTATGCCGTCCAGTTCTGGTGACCAGTCCTCAGGAAGCATGTGCTGGAGCTGGAGAGAGTCCAGAGAAGGGTGATAAAGCTAATAAGGGGACTGGAGGACCTCAGCTACGAGGAATGACTACAAACATTAAACTTATTCTTCCTGAAGAAGAGACGCTTGAGAGGAGATATGATAGAATACTGGACTCTGAACTATCCTTTCGTCCCCACATCCAATCACTGTCCAAAGCTTGCCTCCTCAACCTCTGTAATATCTCCAAGGTACGCCTCTTCCTAACCAATGACACCACAAAGCTTCTAACTCACTCCCTGGTCATCTCCCGCCTTGACTACTGCAGCTCCCTCCTCACTGGATTACCTGTACATAGGCTATCCCCCCCTCTGGTCCATCATAAAAGCTGCCGCCAGACTCATCCACCTTATCAACCATTCAGTGTCTGCCACCCCTCTCTGCCAATCCCTCCACTGGCCTCCACTCAGTGTCCTCCACCCCTCTCTGCCAATCCCTCCACTGGCCTCCACTCAGTGTCCTCCATCCCTCTTTGCCATCCCTCCACTGGCCTCCATTCAGTGTCATCCACCCCTCTTTGCTAATCCCTCCACTGGCCTCCATTCAGTGTCCTCCACCCCTCTCTGACAATCCCTCCACTGGCCTCCACTCAGTGTCCTCCCACCCCTCTCTGCCGATCCCTCCACCGGCCTCCACTCCATGTCCTCCACCCCTCTCTGCCAATCCCTCCACTGGCCTCCACTCAGTGTCCTCCTTTGCCAATCCCTCCACTGGCTTCCGCTTACCCAATTAATTGAATTTAAGATACTTACAACAACTTATAAAGTCATCCACAACATAGCCCCCAGCTGCATCACCAATCTGGTCTCTAAATACCAGCCGAATCATTTTTTTTGTTCCTCCCAAAACCTCCAGCTCTCTTGCTCCTTTATCATTCCTCCCATGCTCACCTTCAGGACTGTTCCAGAGCCTCTCCCATCCTGTGGGACTCTCTTCTCCAATGTGTCCGACTATCTCTTACTCCACTTTTAGATGACCCCTAAAAACTCATCTCTTCAGAGAGGCCTATCCTGCCTCCACATAGCAACTGTACATGTATTTTCTCCATCAGCCCATCCCCTACAGTTATTACCTTTTTGTATCAACTGACCCTCCCTCCTAGATTGTAAGATCTAATGAACAGGGCCCTCTGACCCCTCCTGTATTAATTTGTATTGTAATTGTACTGCCTGCCCTTATGTTGTAAAGAGCTGCTATATAAATCCTGTGTAAACATAATAATAATGATAGTAATATACAAATAGTTCAATGGTGATCCCAGCATAAGGAAACACTATTCAGTTTCAGGGAGCTTAAGAAGACACAGGGCCACTCAATGAAACTGAAGGAGAAGCTGTTCAACATTAAACTGCGTAGAGGGTTCTTTATTGTTAGAGTGGTAAGGATGTGGAACTCCCTTCCACAATCAGTGGTGTCAGCGGGCTGTCTATAATTGATAACAGAAAGACTCCTAAAAGAGCATCCTAGCAAATTCAATATACAGGGATATGGGGAATTATATTGACATAGACACCCCCCCCACACACACAGGCTGAACTAGATGGACTAGTGTCTTTATTCAACCTTACCAACTATGTAACTATATATATATATATATATATATACACACGATTTCTCCCGCGTAAGGGGATATTGGCAAGAGTTGTGCATATTTCAAAGTCTGGTTGAGACAGTGTGATCAGTTCCATAGGGTAATTGCCTAAACCAGAACTCTATAAAAAAATAACACATTTAAATGTAATAGCCCATTTAAAGATTCAATATTTACCTACATAGTTACATAGTTAGACTAGCTGAAAAAAGACAAAAGTCCATACAGTTCAACCATAAAAAAAAAAAAAAAAAAAAAAAAAAATATATATATATATATATATACAGTATATATATATAAAATATATAAATATATATATATATATATATATATAATCTGCACCCGCAGTTGATCCAGAGGAAGGCAAAAACCCAGCAAAGCAGGATCCAATTTGCTCCTGCAGGGGAAAAAATTCCTTCCTGATCTCCCGAGAGGCAATCGGATATTCTCTGGATCAACTTTACCTATAAATGTTATATCCAGTTATATATTCTGTGTTTCTAAGAATGAATCCAGGACTTTCCTACAGCAATCCACTGAGCTGGCCACAACCAACTCTTGAGGGAGTCTATTCCACATTCTCACAGCTCTTACTGTGAAGAAACCTTTCCGTGTTTGGAGATTAAATTTCTTTTCCTCCAGACGTATTGAGCGCCCCCTTGTCCTCTGTGATGACTTCAGGGGGAATAACTCTACACCGAGTTCACTGTATGATATCACATCATCTATGTTCATTGTGACCCTTCTGCACTTGTTGTATGATGGCCTTTTTCACCTCTTGGTTTCTCAAACTGTAGATGAGAGGATTTAGCATTGGGGTCACCACGGCGTAGAGGACAGAGAATACCTTTTCTTGCTTCCTATGTGAGCTGCTAGATGGAGGTAAGTAATTGAGGTAAATTGTTCCATAGAAGATGGTAGCACACGTAAGATGGGAGGAACAGGTGCTAAAGGCTTTTCTCCGGCCAGCCGCAGAGTTTATCCGTAAGATGGAAGAAATGATGAGGGTGTAGGACACCAGGATGGTTGTCATTGAACCTATAGTAAATAAACACACAAAGAAAAGGGTGACGATGGTGCAGGTGCGAATTTCAGAACAAGACAACCTGACCAGTGGAGGAATGTCGCAGTAGAAGTGGTCTATGAGGTTGGATTGACAGAAATCAAGACTGAATAGACTGATGGTCTGCGCAATGGAGTGCAGAAATCCCATGGAGAAAGTGACAAGGACAAGACGGAGACATTTCTTCTTCGTCATTATTAGGATATAGTGGAGAGGGCGGCAGATGGCGACGTATCGGTCGTACGCCATGATGGTCAGGACAAGGAGCTCCGTACCGATCATTGAAGAAAAGAAGTAGAACTGAAGGACGCAACCAACGAATGTGATTAATTTCTTGTCAGACAGAAGGTCAGACAACATTTTGGGGGCAATTACTGAAGAGTAGAAGAGGTCCACCACAGACAAGTAGCTCAAAAAGTAGTACATCGGAGTGTGAAGACTGGACGAGATAAAAACTATTGTCATCATCCCAGAATTTCCACATATGGTCACCATGTAAACAAATAAAAACAGCATGAAGAGGAACGGGACGAGTTCTTTATCATCCGATAGACCAGAAAACTCAAACACGGACACTTGGGTCTTGTTTTTGAGATTCATGAGTTCTTCTGCTCTGGAATACTGGAAATAAACATCTCATTTATTTATTTTTTAGTATGCATGAATGATACACAAGTTATCTAAGATTTCCCACGATGTCCCACAGGAGAAGTTTGTTATCCAAAACCAAAAATGAAACTTCAGCAGTATAGTATAGTGTCCCCAATAGTATAGTGTCTCCAATAGTATAGTGTCCCCAATAGTATAGTGTCCCCAATAGTATAGTGTCTCCAATAGTATAGTGTCCCCAATAGTATAGTGTCTCCAATAGTATAGTGTCCCCAATAGTATAGTGTCCCCAATAGTATAGTGTCCCCAATAGTATAGTGTCTCCAATAGTATAGCGTCCCCAATAGTATAGCGTCTCCAATAGTATAGCGTCTCCAATAGTATAGTGTCTCCAATAGTATAGTGTCCCCAATAGTATAGTGTCCCCAATAGTATAGTGTCCCCAATAGTATAGTGTCCCCAATAGTATAGTGTCCCCAATAGTATAGTGTCTCCAATAGTATAGCGTCCCCAATAGTATAGCGTCTCCAATAGTATAGCGTCTCCAATAGTATAGTGTCCCCAATAGTATAGTGTCCCCAATAGTATAGTGTCTCCAATAGTATAGCGTCCCCAATAGTATAGAGTCCCCAATAGTATAGTGTCTCCAATAGTATAGTGTCCCCAATAGTATAGTGTCTCCAATAGTATAGTGTCTCCAATAGTATAGCGTCCCCAATAGTATAGTGTCCCCAATAGTATAGTGTCTCCAATAGTATAGCGTCCCCAATAGTATAGTGTCCCCAATAGTATAGTGTCTCCAATAGTATAGTGTCCCCAATAGTATAGTGTCCCCAATAGTATAGTGTCTCCAATATTATAGCGTCCCCAATAGTATAGAGTCCCCAATAGTATAGTGTCTCCAATAGTTTAGTGTCCCCAATAGTATAGTGTCCCCAATAGTATAGTGTCTCCAATAGTATAGTGTCCCCAATAGTATTGTGTCCCCAATAGTATAGCGTCCCCAATAGTATAGCGTCCCCAATAGTATAATGTCCCCAATAGCATAGCGTCCCCAATTGTATAGTGTCTCCAATAGTATAGCGCCTCCAATAGTATAGTGTCCCCAATAGTATAGCGTCCCCAATAGTATAGTGTCCCCAATAGTATAGTGTCTCCAATAGTATAGTGTCTCCAATAGTATGGCATCCCCAATAGTATAGTGTCTCCAATAGTATGGTGTCTCCAATAGTATAGTGTTCCCAATAGTATAGTGTCCCCAATAGTATAGCGTCCCCAATAGTATAGTGTCTCCAATAGTATAGTGTCCCCAATAGTATAGTGTCTCCAATAGTATAGTGTCCCCAATAGTATAGCGTCTCCAATAGTATAGTGTCCCCAATATAGTATAGTGTCTCCAATAGTATAGCGTCCCCAATAGTATAGCGTCTCCAATAGTATAGTGTCCCCAATAGTATAGTGTCTCCAATAGTATAGTGTCCCCAATAGTATAGCGTCTCCAATAGTATAGTGTCCCCGATAGTATAGTGTCTCCAATAGTATAGTGTCCCCAATAGTATAGCGTCCCCAATAGTATAGCGTCCCCAATAGTATAGTGTCTCCAATAGTATAGTGTCCCCAATAGTATAGCGTCCCCAATAGTATAGTGTCTCCAATAGTATAGTGTCTCCAATAGTATAGTGTCCCCAATAGTATAGTGTCTCCAATAGTATAGTGTCCCCAATAGTATAGTGTCCCCAATAGTATAGCGTCCCCAATAGTATAGTGTAGTATAGTGTCCCCAATAGTATAGCGTCCCCAATAGTATAGTGTCTCCAATAGTATAGTGTCTCCAATAGTATGGCGTCCCCAATAGTATAGTGTCCCCAATAGTATAGTGTCTCCAATAGTATAGTGTCCCCAATAGTATAGTGTCTCCAATAGTATAGTGTCTCAAATAGTATGGCGTCCCCAATAGTATAGTGTCCCCAATAGTAAAGTGTTCCCAATAGTATAGTGTCTCCAATAGTATGTCGTCCCCAATAGTATAGTGTCCCCAATAGTAAAGTGTTCCCAATAGTATAGTGTCTCCAATAGTATGGTGTCTCCAATAGTATAGTGTCCCCAATAGTATAGTGTCCCCAATAGTATGGTGTCCCCAATATTATTATTATTAATATTACTACGAGTTTATATAGCGCCAAAGGGTTTGCTCAGCGCTGTACAAAAGGGGGGACAATACATGGCACAGTACAACAACAACAAACAACGTACGAGGGGTAAGAGGGCCCTACTCTTACGAGCTTACAATCTAGGAGGGAGGGGGTAAAGGTACAGTAGGAAGTGGCTGAGGGGGATGAAGTGGTGGGAGGAATGAGGGAGGATGGCCATTAGGTGAGGGTGGGGTAGGCTTCCCTGAAGAGATGGGTTTTGAGGGAGCGCCTGAATGTGAATAGGAAGGCGACAGTCTGATGGATTGGGGCAGTGAGTTCCAGAGGATGGGGGAGGACCTGGAGAAGTCCTGCAGTCGTGCATGGGAGGAGGAGACCAGGGAGCAGGATAGAAGGAGGTCCTGTGAGGAGCGAAGGGTACGGGTAGGGTGGTACTTGGTGATCAGGTTGGTGAGGTAGTTAGGGGCAGTGTTATGAATGGCTTTGTAGGTCAGGGTTAGGAGTTTAAATTTGATGCGTTGGGCAATCGGGAGCCAGTGGAGGGAGAGGCAGAGGGGGGTGGCAGAGGTGGAGCGGGTGGTGAGGTGGATGAGTCTGGCAGCTGAGTTCAGGATGGTCTGGAGCGGGGAGAGCCTGCACTTGGGTAGGCCAGTGAGGAGGGAGTTGCAGTAGTCAAGGCGTGAGATGATGAGGGAGTGTACTAGAAGTTTGGTGGTGTCTGGGGTGAGGAAGGAGCGTATCTTGGCAATGTTGCGAAGATGGAGCCTGCATGTGTTTGTGAGTGATTTGACAGTGATTTGGTTGGAGGGAGAGGTTCGCGTCAAGAATGACGCCAAGGACTTTGGCTTGCGGGGCGGGAGTGATAGTGGAGTTGTTGGTGATGATGGATAGGATGGGGGGGGGGGGTGTTGGCAGGGGGAAAGATGAGGAGCTCGGTTTTGGAGAGGTTGAGCTTGAGGAAATGTAGCGACATCCAGTCTGAGATGTCATTCAGGAGGTGAGTGATGCGGGCGGAGATAGTGGGGGTGAGGTGAGGGGTGGAGAGGTAGATTTGGGTGTCGTCAGCATAGAGGTGATAGTTGAAGCCGTGAGATTGTATGAGTTTGCCTAGGGAGGAGGTGTAGATGGAGAAGAGAAGGGGTCCAAGGACAGAGCCTTGGGGGACCCCAACAGAGAGGGGGAGGGAGGGGGAGGTGGCACCATTGTAGGTGACACTGAAGGAGCGTCGGGATAGGTAGGATGAGAACCAAGAGAGAGCAGTATCTCCGATGCCAAGGGAGAGTAGTTTTATTAAGGAGGAGAGGGTGGTCAACTGTGTCGAAGGCCGCAGAGAGGTCCAGGAGAAGGAGGACAGAGTAGTCGCCCTTGGCTTTGGCGTTGAGTAGGTCGTTAGTGATTTTGAGGAGGGCAGTTTCAGTGGAGTGTAGGGGACGGAAGCCGGACTGTAGAGGGTCAAGGAGGTTATTGTCTGTAAGGTGGGTGCTTAGGCGATCGTAGACTATGCGTTCAAGGAGCTTGGAGGTGAGTGGCAGCAGGGAGATGGGTCTGAGGTTGTTGGGGTCCGCGGGATCCAGGGAGGGCTTTTTGAGGATGGGGGTGATATGCGCGTGCTTTAGGGGGGAGGGGAATACGCCAGTAGAGAGGGAGAGATTGAAGATGTGGGTGAGGGAGCAGATGAGGGAAGGGGGGGGTGACCGGAGGAGTTGAGAGGGGATAGGGTCCAGGGGGCAGGTAGTGAGGCGGGCTTTTGAGAGGACTTTGGCGACTTCCTCAGTAGTGACAGGGCTGAGGGAGTGCAGTGCGGGGGGGGGTTATGGTGGGCGGGGCATTGGGAGAGGAGGGGGGCAGTGCGGTTGTGAGGGCAGAGGAGGGGGGAGATGAAGGGGTGACGGGGGCGAGGAGGCTAGGTGGGGAGGTAGATTGCAAGTTGACGATGTCCTTACGGATAGCGTCAATCTTGTTGTGGAAATGGGTGGCAATCTCGTGGGCGGTGAGAGAGGTACTGAGTGGAGGAGGGGGGGGGGGGGGGAGAGCAGGGAGTTGAAGGTGGAGAAGAGTCGGCGGGGGGGGAGGAGAGAGGGTGTTTATTAGGTTAACAAAGTAGGCCTGCTTGGCGGCGTGGAGGGAGGAGGTGTAGATAAGAAAATAGTATAGTGTTCCCAATAGTATAGTGTCCCCAATAGTATAGTGTTCCCAATAGTATAGTGTCCCCAATAGTATAGTGTTCCCAATAGTATAGTGTCCCCAATAGTATAGTGTCCCCAATAGTATAGTGTCTCCAATAGTATAGTGTCTCCAATAGTATAGTGTCCCCAATAGTATAGTGTCCCCAATAGTATAGTGTCTCCAATAGTATAGTGTTCCCAATAGTATAGTGTCCCCAATAGTATAGTGTTCCCAATAGTATAGTGTCCCCAATAGTATAGTGTCCCCAATAGTATAGTGTCTCCAATAGTATAGTGTTCCCAATAGTATAGTGTCCCCAATAGTATAGTGTTCCCAATAGTATAGTGTCCCCAATAGTATAGTGTCCCCAATAGTATAGTGTCTCCAATAGTATAGTGTTCCCAATAGTATAGTGTCCCCAATAGTATAGTGTTCCCAATAGTATAGTGTCCCCAATAGTATAGTGTCTCCAATAGTATAGTGTCTCCAAAAAACACAGTGCCAGCAGGAGCAGCCCCTGTTCACCGCTAGCACTTGCGACATGTCACAGAATAAATTTGTCTGAAATTGATGAAGAAATTTGATTTTACT